GTACTAACCTCAGACAAGATCACCGATGGAGGCCACCCTCTACAAAGGCTGGACCTGGGCCTGAGCACTCCTCCCGTTCTCGGTTCAAAATAATAGCTGTATCTCTCTCGCATCTTCTCCTAGGAGACGGTGAACTGAATTCGAACATCACTTGAAACAGGACTCGGCTCTGCCGGGCATCGTACCCACAACGGTGTACTTTTAGTATAACGAAATGTCATACTCGTCATCATCATCATTATCAGCCTATAACAGTTACTGCTGAATCTATTGCACGCCATTGAGGACATTCCTTGGGTTCTCTCATACAGTTCTTGCCACCTAATCTGCATAGATCGTTATTCCACCGATATTGAGTGCGTCCTGTACGTCATACTAACCGGTTTAAATATAGATAACCATAAGTCTTCCTTTCCATACAATCATATTAGCTCGTCCACCCCTTTAGGACTTAAAGGTAATAAATAAATAAATAAATATTTACTAACAATCACGCCATGTTAACTGGTCCCGTGATAAGTTCGTAAAGAACTTGTGTTACAGGTACCAGATAACGGAAATAAATGTAAGATTTTTATTATACACATACATATATTTAATATACATCCATAACCCTGGAAAAGACATTTATATTTATCATACAAATATCTTCCCTTGGCGGGATTCGAACCCGCAACCCCCTTGTGTAGTGACCATGTCACTTACNTAAAGAACTTGTGTTACAGGTACCAGATAACGGAAATAAATGTAAGATTTTTATTATACACATACATATATTTAATATACATCCATAACCCTGGAAAAGACATTTATATTTATCATACAAATATCTTCCCTTGGCGGGATTCGAACCCGCAACCCCCTTGTGTAGTGACCATGTCACTTACCACTACACCAGACGGCCGTTTTTATAATATGTAAACCTACCAGATTGATTTATTTTAAACGAAAATCTCCAAGGTCTTAAATTACTGTTTAAATCGCCTTCTCTCGTACTTCACGCCCGATATTATTCTTTAAATTACATTTGCCTTATCAAGATCATAATCCGAATAGCTGTTATTTAATTGAAAATCTTATCAGTTTTTTTTTTATTAAACTAGCAATTACGTTACGGCGACGTCAATTTGAAAATTTGAAGTATTTTATTTAGTCGTCCAGATGAACAAAGCCTCAGGCGCGTTCACATCTCATTGTAAGTCATTCTTGGCTATCTTATAATACGTATCTATATGTATTACAATGATTTGCTGTTAATGACTAATGAGTCTCGCTAAAACTCGAGAACGGCTGGAACGATTTGTCTAATTTTGCTCTTGGATTATTTGTGGAAGTCCAGAGAAGGTTTAAAAGGTTGATAAATATGATATTTTCATCGGAATTAAAGAAAAATAACAATTTTGTTTTCTCTTTGATGTGTCCCCCGTCGGACGGTTTCCTTTTGTTTGTTTTAAGTTTATTTTACAACAAAAGCTTAGGTCTTTTAACTATCGATTGAGGTACTACGAAGTCTGCCGGGTCAGCTAGTCACGTATAAAATAAGACATAAATTTGAATGAGTCGGGGAAACCGAAGAAAATACTTTATATATCATGTTTTTTGATATGTAACTGTAAATCAACAGGTGTGTGTTGATTGAGCCGCTAATGCTCTACTTATTTCCGATTTAAGGAATCTTATATATTATAAGCTTGCATTCCTTTTTGAAGGATAAGGTAACCGTTATTAGGTATATAATTGAAAATTGGAAAACGTTAGCATTTGATATATATCAATGTGTATTTATGTTGGCCACGTTTATGGGCTTTTATAAATAAAATAAATTAAAATAAAAAATAATTTATTCTAATTTCAGTTCCTCTTAAGACTTTACTCTTTAATTATTTAAAGAGTAAATCGTTTTCGATGATTGGATTCATTTTATTTAATGAATGATTAAATATATTTTCATCTGATTAGTTCGTTCAGTGCCGTTGGATTTGAAAATAAGTCAATCAGCTTGCGTTATTTTTCTATCTACATCTGTATCATTTCTGTTGTATGTCTTCTAATTTTGTAAAAAACATATACGAGTAATATTCTCGTGTCATATCAATTAAATTCATATAATTGTATATTAGGGACAACTAAAAAAGAAAATATGTATACATACTTACGTATGCGTGAACGCGCAGAACACAAACAATATAACTATTCATTTAAATTTTTTTTTATTGATTAGTTGGGTGGACAAGCTCACAGCCCACCTGGTGTTAAGTGGTTACTGGAGCCCATGGACATCTACAGCGAAAATGCGCCACCCATCTTGAGATATAAGTTCTAAGATCTCAGTATAGTTACAACGGCTGCCCCACCCTTCAAATCGAAACGCATTACTGCTTCACGGCAGAAATAGGCAGGGCGGTGGTACCTACCCGCGCGGACTCACAAGAGGTCCTACCACCAGTAATTACGTAAATTATAATTTTGCGGGTTTCACTTTAAATGATAGAGATGCGTATTTTTGTTCTGTTACATAATGAAATTTATGAAATCGACATTATTTTCTTATCTTAGTAACATCTTAGTGTCGTAAATTGAATCAATATTATAATAATTAAATAATAAAACTGAAATGCTTGCATACAAACTATTGTAATTCAAGTCACGATTTGTATAAAAATAAATTATGTTTTAAAAACTGTAATGTAAACATTCAATTTGCTTTTCGCCCACGTACCTATTCCGTCGCCATGACAATTTGGAGGTGTCGATTCGTACTTAGCATTTTAAATGCTATTTTGAAACCTATTGTTCAGGTAATTAGGGTCACGACTAGAGCTGTGACATGGGTTTCAAAATGTATGCAATAGTACTTATAAGTATTAAAATTTAACAAATATTTGCAAAAACTTCTTCCGTGTCTAATGCCCGTTTTTCTGGGGTCTATTTTTATAGTCATACTACTATTCTGAGATTATAATCTTTGTTTTTTTTATTGCTTAGATGGGTGGACGAGCTCACAGCCCACCTGGTGTTAAGTTGTTACTGGAGCCCATAGACATTTACAACGTAAATGCCGCCACCCACTTTGAGATATGAGTTCTAACGTCTCAGTATAGTTATAACGGCTGCCCCACCCTTCAAACCGAAACGCATTACTGTTTCACGGCAGAAATAGGCAGGGTGGTGGTACCTACCCGTGCGGACTCACAAGAGGTCCTACCACCAGTAATCTTCAAGCCAGTTTGAGCGAAGCACTGCTCTTGCTACGACTACTGCTAGCAAATCCTTTCGGGTTGAACCCCGTGAGTTCGTCTACCAAATCGTGTATAACTGGAACTGGAATAGCCCCTCGACGCTACCAGCACGCTTTAGTATGACAACTTTAGACCCGAGCAATAGATAAATGAAGAAATGTAGATGTAATTAAGAACTTCTTATTGAAGCAATGTAACCTCAATAGCGATTTCTTTTAGTCAACTTTGGGATTTATTTATTGTTTTAGGATTTTTAATGCTTCATAATATAATTATTATTATTACATATATTTTAAGAAAAAGAAAAATAGGATAAAATACGTGCGCGGAAAACGACGATAATGACGAACGAAATTTACAAAAAATGTTTTTAATAATTTAAAATTATTATTTAGTAATTGTAATCATGGCCGATAGTATTATTTGTACCGAATAAATGGTAATTGTGCTTAAGAAAATGTCTTTTAATTTGTTGCCAACAACATTCTATTAGTATGGCCTAAAATTATTATTTGAAAAGAAAACGATACTTTGAGAACCCTATTAGTGCCGGGTTTTTTCAAATCACTCGATAAATTGAACCTTTTTTGAATACACTTTTAAAGGCATTTTTTGTTGCCATTTTAAACAGACGGTCATATCTCCCACCTAGTAGTAAGCGGTTTGTGTCACTCTCGGACCTTAGTAAGAGGCAAGGCCAAGACTCTATGATCTACTCCAAGCTGTTTTGATTTAATAAAAGCAAAATAATTATTCGTTGGCATTTTATTTCTCAATAGTGTTGCGTAGAATACTGTTGTATGATTGATAGAGAGGGACCTAGGCGATAATAAGAATTGATTTTAGAATCGATCGATCGATTGTAAGTAGAATACCGATTATTTTGAAGTATCTGCTGTATGATTTCTTCGTGGCGGAACAAGTTACAACGATGGAACTGGCTGTGCAAGCCCGTTACGATTCACCGCCAGTATATTTTTTATAAATCGCCTAAATGACTTAGATCATTAAGCTAGTCTCCTACTAATCAATTTAATGAGGACATTGAACACGAAAACCGGAGACATTAATTGCACGAGTAATCTTTGACGTCATTGCGAGGTATTCCGAAAATGTTGATACGTGCGCTTGCATTCTAGTCACGAAGTCGAGTCTAGTCGATTTCTAAACGGCCACCATCCGGGACTATCACCCACATATCGGTGGCCTAGCTGTCGAAGCAGTTCCGTGACACCAAGCGCCCGGTGTGCGTGTTTTTTAACGTTGTCGATAGCGTGGAAGTTAACCCAATTTTGTATGCAGTTGGAACAGCGCCCTTTTTTATTGCTTAGATGAGTGGAAGAGCTCACAGCCCACCTGGTGTTAAGTGGTTACTGGAGCCCATAGACATCTACAACGTAAATGCGCCACGCACCTTGAGATACAAATTGTAAGGTCTCAGTATAATTACAACGACTGCCCCGCCCTTCAAACCGAAACGCATTACTGCTTCACGGCTGAAATAGGCAGGGAGGTGGTACCCACCTGTGCGGACTCACAAGAGGTCCTACCGCCAGTGGTTACGCAAATTATAATTTTGCGGGTTTGATTTTTATTACACGATTACACATTGCCCCTAACGGCAAACGTACGCAAACGATCCTATTTCATACAAAAATATGAGCTAACTTTTACGTTATCGAGAACGTTAAAAAACTCGCACTAACCAAGCATACACGGATCGTTTAGAAGCGTCCGTTCGCCGACGTGAACGCGACCCGACTTCTCACTCCTCAGTCCTCAGTACGCAGCACGCCGGCTCGTAAGACACCCGTACACGTCGCCACGTAAACGAACTCAACGTGACCCTCGTAAAATGTTATCAACAACGCGGCTCGACTCGCTAACGTGTCAAGTGATTTAAAATGCCCGAGTGTACGGAACAGTTCGCGTTCACGATTCCTGTAATACGTTACACGATGGAGGACGACAGGCCGGCCGAGGAAAGGCAGGCGATCACCAAGAAGATGTCCCTGTTGACGCCGGTGAAGATCGAGACACCGGACAGCGGGAGACGGTCTTCCGAGCCAACGAAGTATTACATTCCTCCGCAGTGCAATAACAGACTTTCCCCTAGAAGTGCGCGGAGAAGGGATTCTAAGAGCAACTCTAAAAGTGGCGTGAAAGAGGAATCTCCCTCCAAAGAGACTATGGGACCAAAGCCGTGTAATTGTGAGGAGTGCAGGGCGTCGAGTCCTCTACCCCCTGGCTACGGGCCGCAAACTCTATCGCCTGGCTATGACCAGATGAAGATTTCTTTGCTGGACGTCCCTTGGAATGAGGATTACACGGAGGCATCGAGCGATGATCTCAGTTCGGAATGGGATTCGGATGTACCAGAACCAGCTCCTGCTCCAACATACAAGGTAGAGTTACGAACAATCAAAGAATAAATACATATTTATCTCTACTAATGTCTCTATTTTGTGATACTGATGAAGCGTAATTGCGTATAAGTATTACGTGACTTCTTTTAGATTTTTAGATCGAAATTAAAAGACTTGAAAGTAGTTTAGAGACTAAAATCTTCAATTAGTGCGTGCGTATCAGATTATTACATAATTCTATTACGTTAATAGAACGAAAACGACTATTCGCATGCTATTTAAGTTTTAAAAACATTATTGTTGATAACTTGTAAATAAATGCTTATGAAACCAGATTGTAGCATTGACTTTGAAATAAGTTACTTTAAAATAATCAACACGTCATGCATCATTAATCTCTCAGTAGATAAACAAAGACCGACCAGGTTTTTTTTTTCTTCAATCATTGTTTTTGCTTCGTAGGTAGATTATATATACGTTTGCAATTTATATTGTGAACATAAGGCCGTGTATGTACCTTAAAAAACATTAAATACAAGTTACATCTCAATAAACGTGTGATCGGTCGATAACAGGTTTCTCTCACACACATGTTTCGTGTGATAAATTTTTAAGTATACACATACATGATAATTATTACAGACTTTTGGCGCTTTCTATACTATTCTCATTTTTGAAGCGTTGCGATGCGCAGCTAATTTAAATTTAGAATTACCGTTTTTTTTAATGTCCAATTTAAATAAGCATTAAATCATCTTTCAATTATCCAAAAATAGTTCGGTAATTTATTTTGTATCCAACGAATGAGGATTACACTCGTATATTGCATGAGACAACGAAGGCATTATTATTGCATACGATTTTTTTTTTATTAGACGGGCGAACTAGTTCCCGGTACAACTGGTGTTAATTGGTTATTGGGGCACATGGCCATTAAAACATGAATGTCGAACACGCCTTGAGACGTGCGTTCTAAGTGTCATTTGTACCACTACACACTAACGGCTGCTCCAGCCATTAAAATCGAAACGCCTTACTGCTTCGGGGTAGGAAATAGGCAGCGTATTGGTAGGTAACTACCGGTTTTGCCCGCAAAAGGCCCTGCCACCAGTAAAACTACCGCCACTATCGTCGATTTAAGCAGTTTCTAGTTATTAATGTCGATTCAAAACTCGTCTTTTCAATAATCGACTAGTATATTGTGTGTTAAACTAGGGTTGTATTATCAAAACTTTTTTAATCGGTAGTTGGTTTGGTTCTCGCCTAAAGATCTAAAGAGGCTTTGTATCCAGCACACGCAGGTATTATCTGACTATTGGTTATTATTTTTAAAAAAATTGAAACTTTTCCTACGATCATGTTAACGTCGTTATGTGCAGCGTGTCTGAAACCACATTTACTTCCTTCGTATATTTGATTATAATGACGAAAACAAGGGCCTGATATAAAAAATATATTCATGAATACCTTGAAATGTATGAATAGAAATAAAAATGATACTGTACAATTTAGACGCATTCAAATTAAAACATTCTGAAGTATTCCTTCTCATTATTTCGCAGACTACATTTCTGTGTATGTAGATGTAAGTGTAGAGTGCAAATTGAGTTTTCTCTTCATGAAACTTTCTAAATTTAATGCGCCCAAACTCTTTAAACTATTTTTCATCAGATTAATTTTAAATATACTCCGAATATAAAATATCTTCATCAGATATTCTTATTGCAGTCAATAATATCACTTATCCTAGATCAAAAACCTATATTTTAATTGTTACTGTATTCAAACTGAACATGGTATACACCTGATGACACGTGGTTCCTTTCGCTCACTCCATTTTTACTGCTGATCGTAGAAATCCTGAAAATATAATTCGTTTATCGACGTTACTAATGCTAGAAGCATAGCCAAGGCACTTAATATGCGCATATCAGTTTGAAATATGTCCTACTGTACCTATTTTTTTCTTAAGGCAGCTAGTTACAAGCTGAAAAAACATCGCGTGGGTGAACGATGTTTGGGTATAGGTAATAAGAAACATGTTACGTAATCGTAATTTTTATTTATTATATATATAATGTTTTTATTAATTAATATTAAATTGTGTGCTTCGGTTCTATTCACAATGAAGACTTCGAAGGAGGCTAGATTGAATTTGGATTCGTTTTTCTTAAACTACCATAGCACACGAGGGACTTTGTATTTTAGTCATGCAAATCTCGTAGCTTACTCAATATATGAATAAAATTCCTTGGATAAAAATAGCTGGAAGTGCAATAAAATCATAGATAATGAACATCACACCATAATTCGAAAGGTAATAAACAGATATAAATGAAATCGTTACTGCCGAAAACAATTGAACAACGCACGAAGAATAGGTAATTATCGGCCGATTGAATTGCAAATCAAACGTATCATATTGTAATGTTTGAACATCGAAGGGGCCCGGTGTATTTTCAAAGTAACGAAAAATTTATGTAAATTTAAATTTTACGCATTTGATTTAGCGGCATCTTTTGTTGTGAAATGTTCGTGAATTCGTGAATGCGAAAAAATATATAAATGAACACGGGTTTCGGCTCCGTCCCCTTATCTTTACCGGTCACCGTCCTCGACGAGTAAATTAACCCATAGACACAGCCCAATGAGTTTCTCGCCGGATCTTCTCAGTGAGTCCCGTTTTCGATCCGGTGGTAGATTCTGCGAAGCACTGCTCTTGCTAGGGCCAGTGTTAGCAACACACACGGTTTGAATCCCGTGAGCTCACCTACACGTCAAGAAGAAGCTGAAATAGCCTCTCAAGGCTGTCAGGATAGGTAGGGAAAAAAACCGTCCCCAAAACAATGACAGGCGGGAGAGCATATAAAAATTTATGAAAGTTTTTTGCAATGCACTCCATTTATCACAAACAATGTACAGGTAGTAGGAAATCTTGTGAGTCCACACGGCATTTACGTTGTAGATGTCTATGGTCTCCGGTTACCACTTGAGACCAGGTGGCCCGTGAGATCGCTCCAACATCTCAGCTATAAAAAAAAATGTTAACGCATTCCAGTCTCAATCCCGTAAACATAACCCACTGGCTTTCTTGCCATAACCTTCCATAGGCGATTCGATTCCGATATTCAAGAATTTCTCATCCATCTCTATTAATTGGTATGGTTTATAAATAAACTAGCGACCAGCCCTCGCTTCGCTTCGGAAAACGTAATTTATTATTGATTTCTCCACTATTTAATGGATGTTATTATACATATAAACCTTCCTATTTAATCACTCTATCTATTAAAAAAACCGCTACAAAATCCGTTGCGTAGTTTTAAAGATTTAAGCATACATAGGGATATAATAGGGACAGAGAAAGCGACTTGGCTTTATACTATATAGTGATTTTGTTGAAATTCTCTTGATTTCAAAGAATGTGTACATACAAATAAATATGCAATCCTGAGACCGCTGCGAGAACCAGTCTTCATGCGACTCTGACCTTATTTATCACTTTGAATTAAAATTAAATTTTTGTTCGTAAAATTCGTCCTTCTGTTGTTGAATTTTAATTAATTGAAATGATAATTTGTGAATTGTATGAGACGGTATCAGCGCTGTGTTTCGTAAGAGCGTACAATCGAAATTCAGGTTGAATGAAAATGTTATTTCGTTATTTCTATATTAGTGTATTAGGAGTTCTATTTGTTTGATTGTATTGTGAGAGCATATTCATTGGTACAATACCGTGCTGCGTATTTCTGTCGCAATCGGTGTGTTTCGGTTCGATTTTAAAGGAATTTTTATTTTTTTATTTTTTTATTGCTCTTGTAGATAGATGGGAATACAGCTCACCTGATGGTGAGTGGTTACCGTCGCCCATGGACGTCAGCAATGCTTGGGGCAGAGCCGAGCCGCTGCCTACCGTTTTTAACCTCATATCTCAAGCCCCATTCACGTTCTGTCTGTGTGCTCCAGTATTAACTCAATATTGAGTGGGCTATCAGTTTCATATACGTGCATGAGCAAAATAAAGTGATGGTTAGACTTGCTTTCTTGTGTCTAATCAGGTCTTGAGTTACGCCAACAGAAGTAAACAGTGAGGCGATACCAGTTCCAACAAGTTAATATTTCTTTTATAATACCGAGCATCCGATTATCAAACACGATTCAAACTTTGGTCTCTTAATGATCAATTTCCAGTTTTAAAAAGCATTAACACAGTGACGTGATTGGTCTATCAATTTTAGAAATAAAAAAAAAATCGATTAAATCACTAAATTTATCTGTTCTAGAACAATTTAAAGTGAATAGGCTGTAAATTTTTATGTTGACTTTCTATAATCAATGGGCCCACGCTAACGATAAGGAAAGCGAATACCAAACCTTTTAAAAAAAAAAACCTCATTAAAAATTCCTCTAGCTCAACAACCTTAATCTGAAACTCAGATGAGTTGAGATAAGGTGAGGTACTTTCGTCTACAAAATTAATCTGAGGTGGTGACGAATTTCTGAATAGATTATTGAGATTTCGTGGCCTCAGGTTTTTTGGCTAATCTTATTTTTGTTTTATCTTCAAAACCTTTCATGATCATAACATATTGCAATACGAGTACCCATCGGCCATTCGTCAAATCGATACAGCTTTCACTGCGCGTCACACGGTTACTATCCGGGTCACTTTCACACAGGGTTGACAGAGTGTTTTTTTTTCGTTCCATATTTATAGCAATTATCTAGAGGGCCTTCGGAAGAATTCTTTAGAAGGTTAAAACGTTTAAAAGCTCATTGACACATCGTAATAAGAAAATACGAAAATCACAATTTAGTGGTGGTAGGTGGTATGTGAGTCCGCACGGGTAGGTACCACCACCTTGCCTATTTCTGCCTTGAAGCAGTGATGCGTTTCGGTTTGAAGGGTGGGGTAGCCGTTGTAACTATATGAGACCTTAGAACTTATATCTCAAGGTAGGTGGCGCATTCACGTTGTAGAGGTCTATGAACTCCAGTAACCACTTAACACCAGGTGGGCTGTGAGCTCGTCCACCCAT